GTTCAGTGGGTAGCTTCCCGTGGTAGGGGCCTGTGTGCGGTGTTCTCCTGCTCCTGGGGCCTCTTCTTCGGGGAAAGGGGGCACTGAAAGCCAACAAAATGAGCTTTCTAACTCTTCCTGAGTGTCCAGGGACACTTGACTCTCCAGAACAACCTCTGTGCTAATCCTCTAGGCCATATTTTTCCCCTTCAAAAAGGGATATTTTATAGTCTTCTACATAGATCTTTTCAGCTCCACTGATTTGGAATAACATGTTTAGCGGCTTAAGAAGAAAGTGACCTTCTAGCTAGCTGGTCCCTTGGCCAGGTGTCCTTCCATGAGCCTGTTTTCTCAGGGCCTCTGTGGGTGGCTGGGCCCCCCATGGTGCCAGCACTATGGACTCTGATCCTATTCTAGGGTCTGGACAAATCCTTCCCCTCCCTGAACCTTGGGGTTTGCCATCTGTCATGCAGAAGCCATCCAAGATCCGAGCACATGGACAAGAGGGCGCTGGCACAGACCAGGGGGATGAGTTCTCCTCCTCTGAGGCTCGGTGTCAAGGGAATGTGTGCTTAAAAGGCCCTTTCTGTGCATCTTCTCAGGAAGATGGGGAGGTGATCCTGGCCTCAGAAGTCTCCAAAGGCAGGTGAGTGGCCAGAGAGGGGGAAGTAGGCCCATGAACAGGAGAGACCCACGTGGGAGCTCTGCTCCGCCCTTCTTTGCCTCCTGTGGGCCCTTGAATTATTGAACCATGGTCTCAATAAACTACAGTGATTTACTGAGCCCTCAAACATCCAATCTTCCTGAGCTGTGAAACCAGTGTTTTTGTTTTAAAATAACATCTTAGTGAAGTAATTGACACCAGAACGAAAAAGTATATGTTTTCAAAAATCACTGCTCATACCACCTGACGAGCCGTTAAAACCAAACCTGCGCAGAACCCATACTCCTCTTGGTTTAGGTGCCTGGTTTGTTTAGCTCCCTGCCAAATCTGTGCCCTGGTGGAACAGGCTGTTTCTAAGGTGATGTGACAGGACCTGCAAAGCCATCCTGTGCTCTGAGCTGCACCTTCAGCCACCCTTCCTGGTGAAGGTGCCTGCCTCAACTTCCCCTTGCTAGCTGGGAGGAGCTGGTGTTGCCCACAGTGCCCAGCAGCAGCAAGCTCACGGGCAGCCTCTGCTGTCTGTCCACAGGCAGACGGCCTGCTGCTTCGGAACACTGGGATCACTGGGAGGCCTGGGGACACAGATGGCCTGTTCCACCTCCTCTCAGATTCAGTGGGTCTGAGAAGGGACTCAGAATCTGCACCTCTAAGGAGTTCCCAAGTGAGCTGAGTCCGCACCTCTGGGACCATAATTTGAGAAGCCCCGAACTAGCTGAGCTTTAAGGAATCCTAATGAGAAATGGCCTCAATAAACTACAGTGATTTACTGAGCTGTGAATGAGGTAAGAAGACAGGGCTTGGGGCTCAAAGGCAGGCCAGCCCAGCAGCAAGCTCAGACTTACTCGAATGATTCACCCAAAATACAAGCCTCCGGCTGAGCAGATTCTGATGAACCCCTTTCCTCTTCTTTTCCTCCCTGGGTATTTTCCCCCTGCACCCCTGAGAGCAGGTCTGCGGGCAGCCACAGCGAGGCTCTATGGCAGGATAAACAGTGGGCTTTCTCCAGGCCACAGGGATGAGCTCACATAGTCTGGGCCCTCTAACTGCTCTCTGGGGGTTTCCTGACATTTCTTAATTTGCACAGGGCTTAGTGAACTTTTAGTTTCTTTTTTTTTCTTTTGAGATCACCCACTTTCTAATAGGACCAATTTAAAGAAAAACATGCTTTGATCATTCAGCTGTCTCTTCTTGATAGAAATGACAAGAACTCATCAGTAGGCCTGCTGAGGGGGGCAGAAAGGGTCGCAAACCAGGGCCTCATGACTCATCCCTGGGCCATGATGTCAAGAGTTGGGTCCACATCTCAGTGGAGGGTAAGCTGACCTGCGTGTCTGCCTGGTGTCACCGAGCAAATAGTTCTGTTAGGGATTCTATCCTTTGAACGTCTGAAAGCAATCTGACCTCCACACTTTCATTTGAATCTAACAAGAATTCTAGGAGAGAAGAGGAATGGGAATGACTATCCACATTTGGCAACTAGAACAACTGAGAAGTGAGGCTCCGTGTGCACGGCATGACCTTGAGCAGGGCTACTTCCCCTGTCGGCTTCTTATCTGCAAAGCTCTGGTAGAAGGCGATTCTTCCATCTGCTCAACACAATCCTCAAGATCAACAGGGAGCCATGCCACAGCCCCAGAGGTCAGACTCCATGGGGGAAACCAAGATGAACAAGAGACAGCCCTCAAGAATCAAGTGACTGTCCCCCTGGGAGAGAACAAATACAGTCACAAATACCCATAAGCTGGAGTCAAGAACCATTAGTGTAGAAGATAGAGGCTTCAGCATGGGGAAAAGATATAGGGCAGTTTAGAGGAAGGAGAGATTACTTCCAACCCAGAACCAGGAAGACTTCATTAAGAAGAGTATGCAGGGACAGTCCCCACAACAGGACCCGAGAAGACCTCAGTTCTAGGATTCAGCTGCCATAGCCAGCCATGTAAACTCGAGAAAGTCATTTCTGTCCATTTCCCAACGGGCCCTTTGCCCTAAGTGCCTCATAGCATTATGAGGATTAAATGAGAACTGATTTAAATGAACATTGGATAAATAAAATCACCAACTACAAAGCCCTTTCATCATCACTGGGGAAGAAGAGGGCAGGAAGTTAAAAGCAGAAAGCTTTTGAAGGAGAAGGGGTGGGGGCGGGTGGCACCTGCCAAACCCAGGGCGTGGGGAAGATCTGAGCTCCTCCTGGGTTAGTAACTGGTTCCAATTATTTTTCCTAACCTCCTACAGCTAATTTTCTTGAGGAGAGCCTGACAAGAGTTAAGTCAGAATATCTACATTCCTCTGCATCGGGAAAATGAAAGTCCCCGGGGGAAGTGGCAGTGAGAGGCAACAGTGCCAAGCATAACTCTTGTGGACAGTCACTGGAGCCTCGTCTGTCCCTGGCCCCAGCACTGGGCTTGCTGGGTGCTCAGCAAACAGCCATGACATGAATGGATGTGCTCCTTACTGCTTCCCAAGGACTTCTACACTCTGGTCCAACCACAGCCAGAGGGGTAGACAGGGTGTGGACTGCTGTCTCTGTCAAAGATAGGGCAACTGCAGTTCCAGAGGGTCAATGGCCATCCATGTTCAACCTCTCAAGGTCAGAAGGGAGCCCAGAGCCCTGACGCTCATGCAGTGGTTCTTTCTCATACTGGGCCAACTCCTAAGAATTTTTACTACAGCAATCTTCACTACAACAAACCATCTTTCCTGACTTAACTGAAGGCCTACTATGTGCCATTATAAGCTCTTTCCCTATAACACTACTAAATCAGCCTTTTGCATCATACTGTGATTCCCATATATACCGCTTATTCCAATGCAAAGTGATTTCTGTGCGTCCCAGATACAAGTGTTGTGGATTCTCTGTTTTTGTTTTTTTTTTTAATCAAATAAAAACTGATTTGGTTGAACCTTTGGTTTGATTGTTTGGAAGGACCATGGAGAAGTGTTCAGACATTAGGAAGACAAGAGAGGGTATGTTTTTGTTATTGTCCTATGTTTGTTTTTACCGTGGACGTTCCTACCTACAAAGTAGGTCTCAGCTGCCAGAGTTGGGGCAGGGGACACACTCAATGTTAAGGTGACAAAATTATTTGTGGCACCACTGACCCAGAGGCAGCTAGGTTGCTTTGGGTTCTGAAATCTGCGGGTGGCACAGGAAACCTGCCTGCCTTGCTGGTGATGCTCTTCCACTGCGGTGGCTACAGGCAGATCGGAGCCTTTCTATGTAAGGAAGAGAACTCAGGAGTGGGCCTCAGACGGACAGCTGCGTTCAAGGTCAGAGCCACCTTCACTACTCATGACCCACCCCCATCCTTTGTCTGTGAACAGATTATGGAGCAAGTGCTTCCTAGGGGGTGTTTTCAAGGTACAGGGCTGGGGGTGCAGCTCAGTATTAGGGTGCTCACCCAGCAAATGCAAGGCCCTGGATTCCATCTCCAGGACTGCAAATTTTTCTAAAAATGACAAATTTCAAGGTTCAAAGGTTTCAGTAGGAGGCTGAAAACCAGCCTGTTCCTGCATGCTCTGTAGAGAGGTCCCTGGTGATATGCTCACCCCAAGGAGCTCAGAGGTGCCTCAGAGTGGCAGGAATATGGGGTGGGGAAACAGATAAAATGTCAGAGAACCAGCAGCACCTGAAGAAAGAGTGGGTCAGGGAGGCTCAGAAGGTTTAGGCCATGAGAACAAAGGTCAGTGTGACAAGTGTCCCCACCCGTGTGGCCAGGCCAACTCCACTCCCTGCAGCTGGGGACCATTTAGTTATCCAATATGGGGAATATTAATAGAAGCATCCTGACCCTCATGGCTTTCCTTTCACACTGAGGGCTGAGGGTGTCACAGAACTCAGGAGGCCTGGAATTAGCTGGCTGATAATGTCTAATGAGCATTAGTTTATCACATTAGCTATATGGGCCCCTGATCCACAGACGGAGAGAAAGTGACATAGAATTGGTCTGCTCTGATGAGAGAAGTATAAGGCTCATAGGGTGGGAAGTCTCAGGGGGTGTCCTGAGCAGACATCAGAGAGATGAAGTGGTTATGGGGACAGCAGAGCTAAGGGGATGCTACAGACAAGTTCACCAACCACACGATATCAAAGACATAGAATTTGGAGCTAGAAGAAACTTTAGAATTTGTCTAGTCCGACCTTCTACTTGTACAGCCCAGAGTTACTGGTCATGGCCATGTGGCAGAGTTAAGATGAGGAGCAACATCTCCACCAACAACTTTTCAGGCCTGGGAATCTTTCTAGAACCTTCCAGCCTCCCCTCCATACTGACCACAGTCAAGAATCTAAGGACACCCTATGGAACAATGTGCGCGTTTGAAGGGCCACAGGGAGCAGCCATTCAGCCAGACATACCTTGTGGGAATAATGCTGATCCACGATCCTCGCCAACCCGAAATCCCCTATCTTCAGCACGAGGTCCTCTGTGCTGATGAAGATGTTGGCGGGCTTCAGGTCCCTGTGCAGCACGTTGGCAGAGTGGATGTACTTGAGCCCGCGGAGGAGCTGGTACATGAACAGCTTGGCGTGCTCCTCGGTCAGCGTGCCCTGCTCCAGCAGGCGCGCCAGGTCGGTCTCCATGTACTCCTGGACAATGTAGGCCACGCTGAACTTGAACAGCTCGCCCTGAAGGTCAGTGCCCTTGGGTCCCAACACCTCGTACACCTTCACGATGTTGTCATGGTCCAGGCGCCGGATGATCTTGATCTCCCGGAGAGCGTGCTTCATGCTGCGGGCATCGCTCAGGGCGATCTTCTTCACAGCCACCTTCCGGCAGGTGTGGCTGTCTGTGGCTGACAGCACGAGCCCGTTGACCCCAAAACCCAGGGGTTGGAAGTCCACAAAGCGCCCGCCCAGGTCATACCCGTAGACGCTGGCAATGCAGTCTCCTCTCTCGGCCATTGTTGGCTCAGTGGTCTGGAGCTGCCCGTGTGAGGGAGGGGCAGTCAGGAAAGGCCAAGTCCCAGCTGGTGGCCTCCCCAGCACTCCTCATTCTGCCAAGTCCCCCAGCTGAAGGACCCTTTTGCTCCTGGTGAGGTCACTGCCACCAGCCGTCTGGAGGCAAGAGCAGTGCAGGTCCTTGCTCACAGAGATGGACAGCAACGGGCTCAGGCTGCTTTCCTTGCTGGCTCTGGGAGGACTGTTCACCAACTGTTATGCTTCCCAAACCCTCCGTGATGCTTAGAGTGGCTCATGCTTCTTTCAAATCTAGCATCTTAGAAGGAAAATCTGGTATGATTATCTGGAGGGAGGTGATGTTTTTCTGTCACCATGGGTCTCAGTAAAATGTGCAGCAACTCTCCTCTTTGAATCCTTCTGTTACGAGCAGCTCTTTCTGGCTGACGTAGGGGAGTCATGAGCTGAGCTGCGTTCCTTCACTTGAGGGTCCCAAGCTCAGCCTCCCTCTGTGTTCTGAGCAGTAGGAAGGGATCCCGTCAATGGGTTCTGGAGGCTTCTAGGGGCTTCCTTCTACTTCTGCCAGCTCCCCTTAGATTCCCAAACCCAAAGTAGCCTGAGGAGTCCTCAGAAAAAAAGCTAGAGAAAGCCAAATGCCTCTGGTGAGCTCTATGCCAGTTTATACCGAAGTCCCAAGTTCAAGGAGAGCTCAGCTGCCAGGCTGGATCCTCCGAAGACTTGGGTGGGCTGCATCCTCTTTCACCCACTCAGCCATGCCACCTTGACCAAGACGATTGTCCTGCATACAGAGGGGCTGCAGGAACGGGGCATCTTTCAGAGCGAGTTGCCTTCCCTGTCAAAGAAACAAGGTTGGGTAAATTTCCACACTCCAGCTTCCAACACCTTCCCACTTGCGTCTTTTGTTAAGCAGCCCAAGTGTTATTTGATCTGTCCAGCCAGCTGAAACACTGCTTGCTCAGGGGATTCCGGCCTTGCACAGCTCAGCCGCCCCTCCTGCTGCGTGTACTGTGCTTCCCGGCAGAGAGGGAAGACGGGCTGATTTGATAAGACCATCAGATGGCATGCCTTTTATGTCAACACCTGCTCTCCCAAGGTTAGCACGCGCAGACCGTGGGCGGCAGTCATCCCTCCTGACCTTTGCAAAATTAATTTGTGACGCTCTCCAAACATATTCCTCAGTGCTAGTTAGGAAGTGTGAGAGTCAAAAGGAACCAGTTGCAGACCGCAAATAAAGGATTGAATCAATAATCTTTTTTTTCTACATGGGTCCCTTTTCTTCCTTCTTTTGCAAATATTCTGTATATTTTTAAGAGCGAATTGGGTGTGGACTGAGATATAATGACATTGGTATTGCTCGCTTTCCATGTAGGTGGCAGAAGCACACATACCAAATTACAAGGAAACTATACTCCCACCCACAAAAAGGAACTCAGCCCAGAAACTAGGGCACAGATTTTCCTGTGCTGTATCAGGTTGAAACCGTGAGCTATATATTCTTTTAGATGACGGGAACCTAGCTCTTCAGTGATGGGTTAAATCCAAGCTTGTCTGCCCCCCTCTGGTGGTCACTGACTCAAATTACAGGCATAGGAACTAAGTAGGGAGAAAAAAAACAAAAAACAAAAAGACAAAAACCCCTGCAAACCTAGCAATGTCAATTCAGGACTCTGAACAAAGGCAACATGGTAGGGTTCCAAGAGAGTGGCAGGTTTTCTAAGTTCATAAAATCAATGGACACAGAAAGAACACTGTGTCCAGCTCCAAGGACTGAATGTGGCTGGACTGTTTCTTCTTCATTCTCACGACACTGCAGTCCCTGCTCCCCACCCCCACCATGGGGATACTTCTCCATCTGAACTCTGGGTAACTCTGCAAATGATAAATGAAGCAAAACAACTGTGAACTCAATTGAGGGGCCAAACTCAGGGACATAGATTACTAGAAATAGTAAATAATCAGAGCCTTCCCCACCCAGGAGTTCTAATGAAGGGAATTTGCCAAGAGTCTAGAACTTGGTGAGCACTCAACAGATGCCACCTGTGATTGCTGTTGTCAAACATTTCCTTACATCTGAATAAAGTGTCCTGACTCTTCTGATGACTCAACTGTTCAGCCACTCTGCTCTGCAGTTTTTGTTGGGCAAAGCAGCAAAATAATCACAGACTTATAGAATTCCAGACTGGGAAGCAATCCTGGTGAACAAGTCCCATGTCCTTAACAGGGAATGGTATTGCCTTTCTTGGCTTATTTGAGTAGGAGTTGCTACTGGCTTTTAGTGGGCAGCATTTGTTGACCATCCTACTAAGCAACCCCATTAGTGAAAAACTGACATCTGCCCCATCATCCCCAAGTGCTAAGAACACCTCTTCCCAGAGACTCAGTGCGCCTCAGCCTATGTTTCCAGCATAGAGAGGGCCAATAAACATGTGATTCATAGATAGACGTTCTCTCTTTTGAGGGCACCTAGCCATTGTGGGCAATAACCACCACTGGGCCACAATCTCCAACAATGCTAGTGAAGTCCTCCTGGCTACCTAACTCAGGGGAACCAGAGAGCCCCTCCATCCCCTGTTCTACCCGTTTGATTCCTGCAGCCCAAACCAGGGAAGTAAGACTCAATTGCAGCTTCTACCATGTGCCTGGTCTGGTTCCCAAGGGCACAGCAAGGAGAGACAATTCCACATTTTGTTTTATGAGGAGAGACGCCTGAGCCCTCTTCCCTCCCGGCTCCCACTGGGTTGTAAACAGAGAAGGGACCGGGCACCCATGACATCACAAGCCAGCTGGAAGGAGGATTTGTTGGAGATTCGCTGCAATGCAGATAACCTGTGAATAATGAAGAGAGGCTCTGTGTATTTTTAAACTCTCCTTTTCCTCCCATGTGTGGGAGGAACTGTCCTTCTGTGTGTATGTGTCTCTGCATGACCATGAGAATATGCTCTCCCAATATGCTGTCAGCTTGAGTGGGCAGAGAGCATGTCACCCTGGGCTCCATATAGCCCGCCACCTTCCTCCTTAGACTCCTGCCTGGCTTCGCTGCCTGTGCCTTCCCAGTTCCTGAAATGCTCTCCTGCTTCGTCCCCACTTGTTGAAATCCTACCCGTGACTCAGAGTCCAAATGAAGTCTCCCTTCCTCTCTGAAGTGTCCATCCCACTTCTCACTGACATCTCCTCCTTTTCTCAGCCTTGGTGTCAATCCCATATTTGACATTTACTATATACTAACCTGGGCTGTTATTTAGCTTTTTATACCTGTTCATCTCCCAACTAAACTTTCGGCTTCACAAATCTAGTGCACAGAGTGGTGCACAGAGAACAACTGTGGATTAGAAAGACCTGCGTACCACGTTTATTGTTATCTCTTCTCAAACCTCTTCATTTTCTCTTTCCTTCTCCAATTCTTCCGTAATGCCTACTGTACTGTAAACCCTTTGCCTTGCTCCACAAGAGAGATGATAGACAAAATATCTTGTCTCTAAGTCCCGTATTAGCGATTCACTTCTGACATGGTATACCTAGAGTCAGGGGCCATCAATACCCATAGGAGCAGGCTTGCATCTAGATGTGCCCCCGGGGCAGGGGAGCCAGCTCAGCAGCTCTTGGGGCAATGCAGCTGCTTAGAGCAAGACCCAGTCATTCTCCTTTTGGAGGTGGTGGCTCAGATCTGCCTTGAGTCACAGGTGTGATTTCAAACCCAAACATTTGGCATTCACTGTGGAGACAGAAAGGTCACCTGTTCAGCTACGATCGAAAGACACCAAGCAAGAGGAATGCAAGTGTCTATTGCAAGGGATCCCAGGACTCCACAGCAAGCATCCATATAAAACACAGGAATAGAAATTTCTACCCCCAGACTCCTAACGATGGAGCTTCAGCCCTCAACTGATTTCTCACTGATTTAGCAACAGCTTATTTGATTAATTATTCTCTCACTCATCCAGCCTTTTAACATGTGGAGGCAAATCAGAGACAAGATGATGTGTGCCAACTGTCCCTTTCTGGAATCCTGGGGTTCTGGTTTACAAATCAGCTTTGGAAAGTCTAAATTTAGACTCACCTCACTGCCTGCTCAGATCCTCCCAAAGCTCATGCTGTCAACTTTCAGCAGGAAATACGGTCCCCTGTGAGGTGCTGACATTTCACAGACTCTGCTTTCTTTCCTCTCCTGAACACCCAAAAACCAGCAGTAAATTCTCAGGCAGGGCTGATGTTTACAGTTGAATGGGCTGTGCACTGCATAATTCTAGGTGGCGCCATTCACATCACAGTTGGGTCTGACTGACTCCAAGGCTCATGATGCAAATCACTGTAGTTTATGTGAATGAAGTCCTCTGGACCAGGGATCAGTAAACTTTTCTATAAAGGGTCATAGAATAAATATTTTGATCTTTGTAGGACAGGTAGCCTTTGTTACAACTACTCAAAATTGCCTTTGTAACACAAAAGCAGTCATAGAGAATTCCTAAATTAATAGGCACAGATGTGTTTCAATAAAACTTTATTTACAAATATAGGTGGTGGGCCAGATTTGGCATGGGGGCCTAGTTTGTCAATTCCTGCCCTAAGTTCTATGGGAACATTCTCTATTCTATAGTAACAAAGAGGAGCTGAAGGCTCATGGGGAGAAAGATCTCCTATAAGTTCACAAATGTGATCACACAATGATTCTTGCCTCCGAATCAGCAGTTCTTCCTTTGTTTTGTGGGTCCATACTGTGCTGTGTTGCCAAAAGTTGAACAGGAGTGGTCTTGACCTACTAAATACCAGTAGCACTCCCTAGTCCCTGCGTCACACATTCTCAAAAGTCCTAGAGGGCACTGGCACCTCTCAAACCCATCTCCATTGAAGAATCTAAACCAGTTGAAATAATGCAATTCCCCTTTGGTAGGGACCGGCTCAGGGGTGGCCATGTGATCCAGTTCTTGATAATATTCCTTAAGGGAAAGTCTGTTGGGCAGGAAGGGCTCAGGGAAAACCTTCCTTCT